AAGCTATTTCTAACCTTTATTTACCAAACACCTTATTTTAGCTGATTAAAAAGTCAAACAGCTAAACTTGATGAAAAAGCTCTTTTGAGATCAAACAACTAAAAAACAAACAGGACCAATATTTAAATTCTATTTTTTATTTTTTTTTTATTTATTAAGTTATGATTTTTATTTTATTCTAAATTTTTAATTACTTCCTCTTCTATTATACTATCACTTTTCGTGCACACGCACGGGTTAAAACTAGCATTATATATATGCGTGTGTTAAAAGTTAAGTATTTACTAAAAATAATATTTGTAAATTTGTAATTTCCTGTGAAAAAATATAGTAATTACTAAAAGTATTTTTAAAAATTTAAAAATTATAGTGTATTTAGATACGAAACGAATGAAGTGCGAAAAGAAGGGAGATGTTACGGTCTCCTAAGGGAACCATATTATCAGAATTTGTAACAGCTAGATTATAACGTATACGTCGATAATAATAGATTTAACGATGACATATCTATTACTCTTAATATATAAAAAGATGGTGAGAGCCCCTGCGTTTGACACGTGGCTGAAGGATTTAAGAGACTTCCTCTTCTGCTCAAAAACGACGTCGTTTTTAGGCTCTTTTGGTTGACACGTGACGTTAGGATATAAATAGTCTGCCTCTTTTGCTTTGGAACGACGTCGTTTGAAGGCTTTTTTGTAACGGCGTCGTTTACTGTCGGCGGAGGTTATTTCTCGCTCACCATTTCATTACTTTTGCACCGACCTTTTCTGTGAGAGTGGCATTAGGGCTCCCGTCGTCTTCCTCGATCAATCAATTTAATCTCTTTTTTTTTTTTTTATAACTAGCGGTGTAGAGATTGTACAATTCTTATTTGTTTCGTTAGAGCGAGAGTATAGTTTGTTTGTGTTTGGGGACTGCATTCCGTCAATTGGGGGTAAATAATTTTATAAATTCTCTTCTTATATCGTGTTGCTCCATTGTTTAAGGGTTTCAACAAGTAAAATATATGTGTTCTAGATCGTTTGGTTTCCAAATTAACCCAGAAGGTTTGATATGTTTTCTCTTTCGGTTTCCGTAGGTGCGAGCGGTTGAATCTATTGGAAAAATGCAAACCAAGAAAGCTGCCTTTTAATCCTTTTTTTTTTTTTGGTTCTCAATTGTTTGCTTAACTGCTTTTTCTTTGTTTTGGAACATTTCTCTTTGACTTATTCACTGTTGTGTATTAGTACTTTATGTTATTGTCTAGACAATTTTTTTTAAAAAAATTAAAGTTGGGAGATAGTTAAATGATTAAAAGAAATTGGTTGTGCTATTGGGTTCATGTACTGTAGTGTATGTAGCCGTCCATTCTTGGGTAATTGATACAAATTATTACAAAGTATCTGTTTTATGTCATTACAAATATTTGCTTGCAGCTTTTTACTCATTTTTGTT